TTCGCATAGTCATAGCTCATACTATATTTAATTTGGGAAAAACTGGAATGAAACACTACTCAGTGGCATTAAGTGTGGTTAGTTCTTGTTAGAAAAAGAACCAAACAGGCTAAAAGCCCTACAAATTCTAGCAACAGGATCCAGAGAAATTTACTGGCCCATACAGATCCATAATGCAAGACTCCAGACTGGCTGGTTCCAACAATGAACCAAAATGGGAAATTTTAGTGGCTGTGACGGAAGTCACTGTTGCTTTGTTAAACAGACACTGTACCCTCAGCATCAGCTTTTCTTAAATATTGAGTGGTGTTGACCCCAAAGGTCGTCAGACAAAGAAACACACAAATCAGCACAAATGCATTCCCGATTCTAGAAAATATGAAAGGAAGGCTCTACCAGTGGACAACTGCTTAGCAGTATCAGACTTTTACAGAAAAACAGTACAAAGAGTGTCTTTTAGAGAAATTACCTATGCTCAGACATAACGACAGTGCACGCCACTTCAGTGCCACTGCGGGATCCGGAATGAAGTTGCACACTAGCCCCAGAAGGCCAGCTTTTTTGTGCTCTGTTTATTAATACTTTTACTCATTAGACTCCAGGTATTCTACAGCAACCTCAAATATTATGTGCTCCGCCAAACGAGATGCCTGCACGGCTTACCTCCTGGACATGAAGAACAGTTCAGGGTTTGCAACCGTGGATTTACAATGGTGTGGGCGCACACACGATGCTTGGAAGAGAATAAGTTTTTGCTCCCATGGCGTCCAGAGGTGCACAGTGGCCCCACCCCAGCACACTTGCCTTAGATCATTCATGCAGCGCGCGGGCTCTAGCACACATTAACTAAGTCATTAATGCTCACCAATACTTCTGCCCACAAACCACGTAGCATTATTCTTTAATGGTTGATGAAGCTCAGCTAGGAAGGATAATTGCTTTCTTAAGGCCACAGAGAAAGCCTTGTGTCAGAACAGAAGCGGATGCCAGTGGTTTTTGGCCTAAGGCTTGTACTTGGCCCACCAGGGCATGCATTAGAGTACAAAGGTTCTGTACCCTTTCAGTGTTACAGTAGCCTCTTCATAATCGGGACCCATTTACTAACTCCACCAACTCCGAAATGTGTTCTCTTTCTTTGTTTTGTGTTAAGAAAGTGCAACACTGCACTTCAAATAAAAAGGACTACAAACACCAGTATTTCTAATTACAGACTATTTCAGGGGCCAGATGAGCCAATCACAAGGTTTGACCAATTTTATTAATTTCTTGGATGAGCAGATTTTCTTTTCTTTTTTTTTTTTTTTAGAAAGGTATTTTAGCACAGTGGTAAAGTATACAAGTTTGAAGTTAAAACTGCTAGAATTATCAAGACTTGTCATGTAGAGGTACAAGATCCCAACAATGAATGTAACTGTACTGTATCCCTAAAATGTACCAATAAACTCAATTAAAGCTGAAAAAAAAAAAACCTGCTAGAATTAGAAACCTGGTTCTGTCTCTCCCTGTCTATGTGATTTGGGGAAAATAGCTCAAATTTTCTGTCTCAGTTTCCTCATCTGCAAAATGGAGACAATACTGGTATTATCAGGAGGGAGAAGTGCATGTGACCCTGTTTTCACAGAACTACGCTGGCCACAGAGGAGGACCCCAGCGGGTGATAGACACCACCACCACCATCATGAATATAGAAAAGAAGGAAGCTCTTTTTTCAAACCAAGGTTGTCAGCGTTTATGTTCACATCCAAGAATGCTCTTCATTTTTTAGAACAGATAAGGAGTCAACATAAATTTAAGAAGCAATCACTAACTGAGGGTTAAATCATTAGAGGGACATTTCTAAGCAGAAGTCAGGGGGATACAGAAGGCTCAGGAAGAAACGCTCCATTCCTGGACATGTACCACACATCCCGATCTTAGGTAAAATTGTTGGCTCTCATCAGCGTACCCTCCCACACTCATCTTCCACCTGGGGAATTCCATCACGAACAAAGTTTTTCATGGGTGTAATTAGCAGTTGTCCTGCAGATTATTAGTTACCAGGCTCTTCTGTTCTAAAGGCCAATCCGAACCATTTATTCAGATGAAAAACACACCCAGTCCACTGTGATGTGTTTACACATACCATGAAATGTGTTTGCTACCCTCAAGCTGAAATACACAATGAGAACTGCATAAAATAAAGCACAGAGATACACTGGCTATATACAGAAAAATAATATTTCAGTATCAAAATAAGGGAAATAAATCACTTTGGAAATTCAAAATGTAATTATGATTAAAAACTGGATGGTACAGTAGTTGGAAAATAAAATCTAGAAAATCTGACTTTAGAATCAATGTAGTCAAAGTAATAGCTGACTCATAGGCAGTCCAAAAAAAAAAAAAAAAGAGAGAGAGAGAGAAAAGTATAGCACACAGAGGAATTATTAAAGAAGTAATAGAAGCCGGGCATGGTGGCACACACCTGTAATCCCAGCACTCTGGAGGCTGAGGCAGGAGGATCGCTGTGAGATCGAGACCAGCCTGGGCTACATAGTGAGTTCCAGGTCAGTCTCAACTACATAGTGAGACCCTGTCTCAAAAAACCAAATCCAAAACCAAAACAAAAAAAGAAGTAATAGAAAAGAAAACTCTGAACCGAAGCTCATTATTTTTCAAATTGAAAGGGCCCATTAATATCCAGGCAAAATAAATGAAGAAACCTAACACAGTTCAAAATACTTCAGTGACTTTTCCAAACATGGAGGATAAAAAGGAGATCTGGAAATGAGAGGGAGGGAGGGAGGGAGGAAAGTGTGAATGTGTGAGCAACACAAGCCTTCTCAGCAACACTCACAAATCCCAAAAGATGATGGAGAAAAACCTTTCATATTCTGTGGGAAGAATTATCTGAAGACTAAAGATTTGTGCCTATCCAGACTTTCTTTGAAATGTTAAAAGAGAACAGATATAAAAACTCAGAAAGTTACCTTCCTTTTAACTTTTCTTAGAAAGTTTCTTGGGATAGTGCTTCAAGAAATGAAATAAAATAAAAGGCCCCAGAAGAATGCCATAAAGAGGGACACAGAGTAAAAGACAGCCTCTCCCCCACACCCCCGTCTCTGTTGGGCATGGAAGCAGCCTCAGCAAGCACTCTGCCTCACAACATTACCAACCCTATCATTGCTTGATCCTTCGACGACCAATTTAAGTGAAAACCTAACACCACAAATAGCTATCATATTAAGACATTTAAGCATACTCCCCAACAATTAAAGGTTTCTATTAGCACTGTAGGATACAGTAGGAAGAGATGAAAAACTTTCTGTTTAGAAAATAAAAATAAATGTACATTCTAAAGATGTCTTTCCAGTGATCCACATTGCTGTCCGTTTCAGAAGCCTCATGGTTGGTGGAACTCTTTCTTCACTTCTCAGAGCATTACAAAGAAAACACTATCGTATTAATTTATAATCTTCCACCAGTTTTCTTTTCACAAAATTGTGCATCATTTACATTGATCTTGCACTTTGACAATAACCCTTGGTTTCAAGTGATTTTTGATGAATCTCCAAGCCAAATGTGTTCGCAAAACAAAATTGTTTTCACCCACAAATAATTAATTAATTTATTTTTGGTACCAGGGATCAAACTTTGGACCTTGTGTTTGTGAGGTAGGCCGTGGAACCACTGAGCCAAATCCCCAGGCACCCACAAATTCTATTCAGAGATATTCTCACAGGTTGCCAAAAAAATAAATAAATAAAATAAAATAAAAAAGAGTCAGTATTCTAAACAAAGTTTGGAATAAGCACCTAACCTCAGGCCTTTAGTATAAAAAAATTTGCCCCCCAGCACACCTTACAAAGACAGGTATATAAAGCATAAAGATGTTTGGACATTCTTTAGGTTGAGGTGATCAACATTCCAGATTCACATCACATCAAAGAAAGTTTGCCTTTTAAGCAGCCAAAATCCAGTCTATTTAATAACTTTTATGAATATGTTTTTCATGAAGTATTTTGGTCCCGGTTTTGGTACAAATACTTCATCGATCAAGTGAACAGAACAATAATAATAAAGCTAAGGAAAAACTAATATTCCCGGACAGACATTTGCATAGTTGAAATCGCATATAGCACAAAAATGTGGTATCAATGCATTCATTTGTAATAGCTTTTTAATAGAAAAGAGGCCAAGATTAAAATTATAAAATGAGCTCATTTTTTCTTATAAAATACAAAGGTCCAATAATAATGAGAATATTAAAACAATTTCTTACTTTACCATAAAATTACAGGGCCAAATATTACATGTTTAGTAGAGAGGTCAAAATGTATTAAAATAAGCCTTATAAAATATTTCTTAGAGATTTACTATGTAGTTCTTTGTACAATGAAAGAAATTACCATTACATTTTTCAGCTACAATGTAAGTGCCCTCTATGATTACATACACTAAAATAACAGCTCTTTTTAGTTATTGCATTTCCCAATTAGGGGTCAGATATTCAACATTTCTGGAAAGTGAAAAATTATAACATTCACCTGAGAGGGTTTATTTAAACAATGCAGGTAACACAGTCAGTAGGGATTTTTGCCATGCCTGGCAAGGAACTATATCCCTAGATTAGCATTTCAGGCATAATTCGACAAAAAGGAAGGATCCTGTTGCTAGTTTTAGGACAGTCATTTTCTTTTGTTTTCAAAAAGACAAGCAATAAAAAACAAGTTGGTGAAAGCATGATTAGAATATGAAATGCCACACAACAATCAAGAAGAAAATCTGTCACTCTGAAAGAGAGAGGGAAACAGTCCATTTTTCTTATATTGTTCCTTAATTACTGACAGAAATTTCTATTACTTCCATCTTCTTAACTATTGGAATTTGGAAACTGTTTCCGCACACAGACAGAAGTTTGGAAACCGCCAAAGCCCCATTCAGCGCAGCCGCCTGGCGGTATTAGTAAGCAGGAGGTGTCCAGGCAGAAGCTGACAAAGGCAGCCCAGGTGAAACATTACCTTTGTGTGCTGAGGACTTCCGAGGAGCTGGAGTTGCCGCAGACGGCACCTGCTGCTGTTTGGCTGAACATCCGTCGCTCCCAGTCCTGGGAATCTTCTCAGCTAAGCTGATGTTTCTCTGTTTGCTGTTTAAATCATCCTTCCTGGATGACTGCAGTTTAGACGCTGCATTCGCGAAGACAGGTCTTGCTGAGCGAGAAGGTTTGGACATTTTAAAGAGCAGAAAACACGACAACCAAAAGAACCAACCCCAGAATGTTACCGGCTGGGGCAGCGAATCAGAAAAAGTCCTTTGAGCTTCACTTTTCACCGGACACAGGTTGAGTCTGAAGTGCAGCTGGAGATAAAGTGCAGCAGTGCCACTTGGGCTGCTCTTAAACAAAAGGCATCGCGCAAACACGTGGCCTGTTTACTAGACCTGTGCAATGTAAATGTGTGTTTGGAAGAAGCCTGTGACAGTTTTGCGGTGGTAAATGCTCCAGCTCAGCAAACGGCAGGCTCTGGAACGGGGAATGTCAAATTTGCATGCATGCTTGTGCACACACACACACACACACACACTCACAGAGCTTTCTGACACACAGGCTAGACACTGGACACCTACCATCAGAAAAGGACTGTACGTGTCATCCCACCCATTCAGGTACTGTGTGTGAAAATGAGCCAGATGTGCGGTTTATATTACTAGGAAGCTCATACCACATTCGTTTCCAGGCATTGGTTCAAGCAAATATTTCCTTGCCTTAGCACATTCCTATATTATATTCCCAGAGTTGATCGTGTTACAAATACCCACCTTCATAATTACTTCTCCTGCTGTTTACAGAACACAGATAGCACAATAGAAAATAAAGAAAACAGAACAAGGTAACTCCCATACCTTTGTAACCTGCCATAGGATATGGAATAACTGATAAGGAGGGGCGTTGTGTGTCTGCTTAAGATGATGTGGGGTGTGTAAGAGTGTGCATAAGTATGCGTGTGTAGTTTGTGTGAGAGAGAGAGAGAGGAGAGGGAGTCTGGGAAGATGGATTATTTTACATTTTATTTATTTATTTATTTGTTTTTTGGTTTTTGAGACAGGGTCTCACTGTGTAGTTGAGACTGACCTGGAACTCACTATGCAGCCCAGGCTGGCCTCAAACTCACAGCGATCTTCCTGCCTCAGCCTCCAAGTGCTGGGATTACAGGCATGAGCCACCACGCCTGGCCTATTTTACATTTTAAAGAGCTTGGGGCTTAATGAACAAATGAATACTTGCAATTACCATGCTTCAAGAAAGACTAATCATAAAGATGTAAGAATCAAGAGGTCAAAGTTTTCTAGGCTGACATCGCTGCCACCATCTGGACACAGGGCCCACTCCTGAGGCTTACCACCCCTTCCCCGCCAAGGTGGCACTTTTGCCTCTGAGTTTCCCAAGTCAGTGGTCTTTAGGACATGGGGTTAAGCTGTTTCCAACCTCTATTATTCTGGATTCCCTTAGGGTGAGTCTACACAGACTATGAACTGTAAAAAGGTTCTGGGAATTGTGACCATATAACTCCACTCCGAGTATAAATTCCATGGTAAGTACACAGTGACTCTGCACTTTATCAGACACAGAATTATGTGTATCAATGTTTATGAGTATCAATGTTGGGATCAGTTGGAAAACAGTTACTTCTAACCTCTAAATGTGCATCTGGTCTGAGAAAGCGTTTCCAACTTTTCATTAATAAAATTGGGATATAATAATTATGGCCCTGTGGGGCTACTGTACAGCCCCACCAAGCAGGCACGTGTGTACGCTGTGTGGCACATGGTGGTGCTCCATACCTGCTTCCCCACCGTGAATTTCCAAAAATTCGGTGTTAAGGATTCTTAAGAAGTCTAGCACTATCTTACTAAAAATACCAGAGTTATAAGCTTGGGCTGGGGAAGTAGCCCTTGCCTAGCATGTGAGAGGCCTTGGGTTTGATCCACAGCACTGAAACTAAAAAGCCAATTTGTGCAGAGGTACAAGCTGAAACCCTGACTCAGATCAGACTGTTCACAGTGGAATCACAGACACGGTCTCAGACCTATAAAACTGGGGGGAAATCACATGAGCGTGACCCCGTGGTACTTTGAGAAAGTACCCTTTGAATGTAATGAACCGCTACATCAGCAAACCATGCTGCAACATTAAAGCCACCCCATCAAGTAGAGAGGCATAAAACTTAAGTGACCCCTTTACTCTTACTAATTCAGTCCAAATGACACAGTGCAACTTTAATGTGTCCATACTAGAGTGTACATCCGCCTGAGAGCTATGTTCCCGGGCTTCCTCCCCTCTGACATCACACTAGCGCTCAGCTTTCCTTTCAGGAATGGATCACGTTGAGAAACGAGTTCTGGCCGCTTCTGGGACAGCCAAGTGTACAGCGTGGAGGTGGCCAGTGATGGAGGAGCTGAGGGCCCGGACCTCCCCCCACAGCCAAGGGGCCCCAGCAGACACAGGCCCAGCCCAGGCTCCTGCCGCTCATGACCCCAGCGACACAGCGGGGCCGGAAGTGCAATCTCACGGCTGCTGAAAGTCGGGGTGCCTGGCAGTGGCCCTCAGCTTGGGAAGCCACCCGAAGGGATCCGCGCTGGGAAAGAAGTGTGATGTCGCCCTGACGCCACTTACAATAGGGGGTTTTACCCATCCGACACGACGGGGGCATTTCAGAGGGGTAGGATCATGTCTCCTAGCATATTTTCCTTCCTGAGAAAGGCCAATACAATTAGATCTATTTTTATGAAGGTGGCGGGAAAAATCAAAGTGATTATGAAAACGGCCACTTGAAGAGCTGGGAAATGTATTAACGTTCTCCAGAGAAACAGAACCAACAGGAGATGCTTCTATTACACAGATAGGTAGATAGGGGAGAAATAGAGAGAGAGAGAGAGAGAGGGAGAGAGGAAAACAGTAGATTCACCTATACACTCACGTCTGCAGGAGAACATGTGTGTGTGTCTGTGAGTATGAAAACCTCCCCTGGATTCCACACACCTGGGGTTGGTACTGTTACAGGCTGTACGGTTTTTCCAAGACAGAGAGGACTGAATCACCTAGAAAATGTCTGAAAATGAGCATCTCTGGGCTCATCAGGCCCAGTGAATAAAATTTCTGACACAGCCTACAGGGGTTGCCAGAAACTGACAAAGCAGTTCTCAGGTGGCTTTAGTAATGGTGGCTGTGGGGGCTGCTCGAGGCCAGCCTTGTGCCCTGTGCCTGGCTGGAAGCCCCTAGACTGGATTTGCTGGGTGCCCTGTGGGTGCTGCTGCCTCTCAGGGGCTGGGTCACCTGCAGGGCCACTTCCGTTTGGCAGAGACTGCAGCAGGCTCTATATGGGGCCCTGGGGACCTGTCTGAGGGCACCAAACTCACCAGTGACCACACTTGGTTCGATCTGTAACCCTTGGGACAAGTGTGCTCCTGCCACTCAGGACACAGACTTTGCCCAAAGTTGACTGAAGGCACAAAACGCCGGCTCGCCTACAAGGTCAGGGCTTGCAAACACCAGGAAAATGTCACAGGGAGTGTCATTTTTGCCCTCTACCCCTTTTCCTGAGATGCCCTTGCTTCAGTGAATACCAAGCCCTCAGCCATGGTCAAGTCAGAGCACAGGGTCTCTGGTCATTGTGCACGGGACATCTTCATTTCAAAGCAAGTAAAGACACAGGAGCATTTGCTTGGTTATGCGGCCCTAAACCTGCCCCTTCAACCCCATTATAAAACAGAAGATGGAAATACAGAGGAGAGAGTTTACTCACTTTTTCTTCACCCTCACTTTATTCCTGAAACTCTGACTTGACTATCAAAATATATACATGATTAGGATAAACTTTGTAAAGTTAAATAAGAAATCAAGAATAACAGAGACTAGAAGAAAAGGAATTTGGCTCTGAGCTTCCTAGCTCTGAGACAAAAATACAAAAGGGAAATGCTGTGCTATTTTATCATTAGTTTGAGTCTAATGAGTCTATGGCCACACCACCCTGAATGCGCCTGATCTCATCTGATCTGGGGAGCTAAGCAGGGTCGGGCCTGGTTAGTACTTGGATAGGAGGAGTCTAATAATAAGAAAGATGCCACTGGATCACAAAGATCCTGTTTGAACTGTGGGCTGAGACTCACTTGGAGCAAACACTAGCTCCCAAGGAACAAGCCCACCTCATTCCAGGAATAGAGCACACTGCATGTTGATCCCTGGAATGCTGCCTGAATTAGGGATGGACAGCTTAGCTCTTACGGTCAGCAGATACCTTGCCCATCAGCTCCAGGTCTTCACAACTCCCATTAAGATGATTCTTGGGCAATCAGGTATCGATTCAGAATGACCGAATTCTTGGGCTTTATTTCTGCCTATGGCCCTTCGGGTATCTCCCACAGAGGCTCCGTCCCAGCATGGTTGTCCATGCTGGACCCTGATGTTAGCCTTCTTCCTTTAAGACATGTGACAAAGACAGCTCTGTCCTGCAGCATCCCCTGAAGTCTCTGAGCCTCCAATCTCGCTGTCAGTATCTCTGCTGGGGCCTGGTCACCCAGGGCCTATTTGGGAACGGTATGGCCAGAAAGAGCTTCTACTTTAGACCCAGCTACCACCACCATTTGACCAGAAAAGAACATCTTACTGAATTGTGCTGAGCGATATCACTTTTTAAGTTTTCATTGTATTTTGTCCCTTCCTGCTCCCCAAAGATATCTCTACTTAATTTTATAACTGGATACTTCTAGCTTCCTGGAAATCTTCATTTTATTGGCCTCATTCCTTATCAAGGAGACACTGTGGCATTTAGAATACGGGATGTGAGTAAGTCAGTCTCCTCTCGGCTTTGGACCCTTAGGTCTAGTCCTCAGTGTCTGACTTTGTAGCTAAGCAGCTCTGGCTTAGGGATGAAACGTGGCTGCCCCAGTGAAGGGGCGGGGGGCTGCTGGTGCCCTGCTCCCAGGGGCTGGCTCCAGCTCACGGCCTGCAGGGGCCCGGTGCTCTGTGGCCTGACAGCAGTGGCTTTTCCACTCATGTTGGGGTCTTTGCTGCACAGCTGGGGCCTGGCTCTCGAAATCCCGTCTCCTGGTTCAGCCACACCTAGCTCAGAGCTTTCCCATTCCCCTCTGAGTCTATTCTGCTTCCCAAACTCCAAAGTTGTCAGCTGACTCTGCTTTTTTGGTAGCATGCAAAATCCCCAGACTTACCCGTTCTTTCATGAAGCTA